TGAGAACTTACACATGGCTAAAGGTAGTGCAGGGGACAGCAAGATATTTATAAGTCATATTGCCAGGCACTGATCTCTGATACTGTCCAAATCTCGCAGGAATATTGAGCTCTACTAAGAATGACTGGACTGGAGCATATGGTAATTGAGTGACATTTATGTAAGAAGCACTAGATTTGTATTCTCTCTGTTAAAGTCTGGTTTAAAATAGGGCTAGAAAATGATTATTTTAATTTTCCCCCTTTTCAAAGAAGAGTGAAAACAATCATATGTAGGCCCAAAGACTTAACTTTATTATTTGTACTCTCCAGATACTCAGATTAAGTAATAACCATCATTTACAATGATGCATAAAACTAGTTATTGTCCTTATTCCAAGCAGGTTTTCCCAACAGATTTTCCAAAGAGAAATGAGAATATTGGCTTTTCCTTCTATATGATAACTTTTGACAAGGAGTTTGTATATATTATTCAAGGCACAGATTCACGTTTGGAAATTCTGTCAAAATAGGCAGCTCTTCAGTGATCATTGACTGACAATTACTCTCAGTGGAAGGTTACAAAACATATTTATGTCTTCTTTGAGCATAAAATGCTAAATCAAAATTTTATGCCCTCAGATTTAATACAGCCAACAAAGTTCTTCTTCTTAAAAATAAAATGATTTTCATTTAGATGAATAGTGACTTAAGGAAATGGCAACATCAAGTCACTTTATGAAGATTATATAAATCTGATGTAAACACAATTCTTATAGATTATATGTCTTTGGCGACTAAAGGCAATTCTACTATTTGCCATTCCAGTCAGCACTCCTAATTATCATTAAATAAATATATTTTTTCAATAAATGGCATTTTCTTTCTCTACATATGCCTCTTGTAGATGCCTCTACATCTAGCAAGAAAAAAATTAATACTTGCTTTGGTTTCTGTAAAATCATTAACAGTATATAGCATTGTATTTGTATCGATGTGTTGTGGGCTAGACTAAGGCCTAGAAAACTCTAGTTGGGGTAGAAGTCACCTGAAGAACTTATTTAAATATGGATTTCTGAGCCCCACTCCCTGAGTTTCTGATTCAGTAGGCCTAGGATGGGCATGAGAATTTGCATGTCTAACAGACTCTCAGGTGTTGCTAATTCTGCACACAGCAGCACTACTCTGAATGGCATGAGGCTCAACAACATAGGAGAATCAGCTGCAACACAGGAAGAGAAGTAGAAGGGATGACATAGATAAAGATTATAGTATCTACTTGAGGGTTGAATAGTAGTCCCAGAAAATACGTTCTCCAGAAACTTCAGAATATGACCTTATTTAGAATTAAGGATCTTTGCAAATGTAATTAAGGTAAGGATTTAGTATGAGGTCATCCTGGATTAGTTGGGCCCTCATCCAACGACAAGCATCATTAAGAGTCTGTCCATAAGAGGCAGACTTCTGTCCTACAGAACTATAAATAAATAAGTTTCTGATGCTTTACAAGTTTATGTTACTTTGTTAGGGCAGTCTTGGGAAACTAATGGACTCCTATAAGTCCAACCATACCAAAGTGCCAAGTTTTGTTATATACTCTAAGAAAAAAGGATAGAACTCTGACACTAGCCCAATGGACTAGTGTAACAGGTTGAACAATGATTGAACATTGACTAACTGTTGGGCACTGTTAGATACCTTCTGGGATGTTATTTAATTTCACCTTATCCCCAAATGCTTTGAGGTAGTTATTTTTTTAGCAGTAGTTATAAAAGAAGATCCTGAAACCCAGAATGGTCATTTAGTCAGAAAATACTTACTGTCTGCTTTATACCAGACTCTTGCTAGATATTCCAGTAGTCAGTGATTTACCAGAAGTGATACAGCTAGTAAGTAGCAGGGATTAAATTCAGATCATGATCCTGTCATTCCAAATTCCATGCTCTTCTCCATCATAGCATATTTTATCAAGGCTTGGAGCTGGAAAGTACAGGGCATTTGGCAATACTGACTAGTTTATCTTTGGCTGCTATGGAATATTTAAGAAAGTAGAAAAGAATTTATTATCTCTAACAGAAATCTTCCTGATTTATGGTAGGTATTTAACAGTATTTCCTCCTATTAATACCTATAAAGTAGTTTGTACTTTGTTACTTTAATCTTATTTTTCCTTGTAGCAACTCTTTCACTTTATACTCAAATATGCACATAATTTAGGCGGATCGTGAATAACAAGGTAGAAATAATAGCTCTACATTGTCTTTGGAGATGTGGAACAATGAGTTAGACAATAATATTTCCATATACTTTTTTGCCTTATTTACTTTTATGTGTATATATATATGAAACAAGGCTGGAAAAATATTTGAATATTACCTTGCAGTTGCAGATCACACACACACACACACAAAACCCCACACACAAAAAACCTATGATTTAGCATCATAATATGAATTCCCTGAGTGTTTCATACAAACTTCTTTCGAATGGTTATTAAGGTATTTAAGCTGTTTAATAATGCTTTGAGAGTTATTAAATTCAACCTTCATCTCATTATAGTTAATGTTTTTGAGCATACAATGTGAATGGCACTCTGCTAGCTGCTGAACATTTGATATGTAAAAAAAAAATTGTTCCCACCCTTGCAGTGTGGATGCTTGATTCAGGATCAGTAAAATTAAGATCAATGTAACTGTGAAAGATTTAGACAAAATGTACTAAGAAACTGCTCACTTTAGCAGGTTAAAGCGAAAAGACAAATAAAAGAAGCTAACAAACATTGAGGTGACAGTTGCATTGAGGTTCTGTCTTAGGAGATGAGGGCAAATTGTATGAATTTGCTAAATGCTTAACAACCACGATGGTACAGAATGGACAGTAACACTGGCACTATTTTTTTTCCTAGTGATATATTTTTTTAATTGTATCTTTCTCTGGACATTTATTCATTCATTTATTCCACAACACTCTACATGCACCTATAGCATGCAAGGTTTGGCATGGAGACAAATGTATTACCCAGTGAGAAGATAAGTCACATATACCAATAACTAAAATGTGAGACAATAATTCTGATCTAAATGACATAGATCATAACTCTTATCATGGGTAGGTTCATGGGAGAATATAATTATTCTACATCTATGAATTGATTACAAATTTATTCAGCCATCTTTTGAGTTTTGAGTTCTTATTTTATTGTATTTTAGCCAGTGACTGTGGTCTGTAAAATAAATTACTTTAATACTTTGAGGCTTCCTTTGTGACCTAGTAGGTGGTCAAATTTGTGAATGTTTCAGGCTTGAAAGCTATGTATTCCTTAATTATTCAGTGCTAGGGTTGATATGTGTTTATTAGACTAAATTTATTATTTGTGGTGTTGAACACTCCTGTTTCTTTGCTAATTTTTTTACTTTATCACCTTTGTATGAGAAGTAAAGTATCTCATTTTAACTATAGGTTATTAGTTTCTACTTGTAATTCTTTTCTATTTTATATATTTTAAGGCTGAGATTCTAGGTATATACAGGTCAGGACTGCCATATTTTCTGGGTAGATCATTTCTTTTAGCATTAGATAATAACCCTTTTTTATCTCTGATTATGCTTTTTTCTAACAGTAATACTGCTACATTGGGTTCCTTTTGTTAATCCTTGGTACATTCTATTCTATCTCCTTACTTTCCATTTTTCCATGTCACCAAATTTTTTAAAAATTATACCTTCATTGAGATGTAATTTATTCACTCATTTCAAGTTTGCAGTTTAGTGGTTTTTAGTATAATCACAGTTTTGCAATCAATACCACTATATAAATTTAGAACATTTCTTCATCATCCCAAAGGAAACCTCATACCCATTAGCAGTCACTGCCCATTTCCCATCTTCCACTAATCCCTGACAACTACTAATATATCTCTGTCTCTATGGATTTGCCTTTTTATGGACATTTTGGATAAGTGGTGTCATACCGTGTGGTCTTTATGTCTGACTTTTTCACTTTCCACTTAGCATAATGGCTTCAAGATTGATTCTGTTTTAGTATTAACATGACTTTGTTGTTTTTAAAGGTTAAATAATATTCCATTGTATGGATAGACTATTATCTATCCATTAGGTTGGACCTTGGGTTGTTTCTACTTTGCAGCTATTATGAATAATGCTGCTATGAACATTTATATGCAATTTATTATATGGACATAATGTTTTTACTTCTCTTGGGTATATACTTAGGAGTAGAATTGCTAAATCATCAGGTAATTCTCTGTTTAACATCTTGAAGAACTGTCAAACTGTATTCCAAAGTGGCTCCATTTCACGTTCCCACCAACAATGTATGGAGGTGCCAATTTCTCCACATCTTGTCTTTGCCTAGATATTAAAATCCCAAACCCCTTTGGCATTATCCTGGTATACAATTTTTGTAGGCCTTTACCATGTCACTTCCTATCTGTATACATTTGCACTCCTCATGTTTCTGGCATATGTATAATTCTTTTTCCTCCTTTAAAGGTCATGTATGGGGTGCCTGGGTGGCTCAGTGGGTTGAGCCGCTGCCATCAGCTCGGGTCATGATCTCAGGGTTCTGGGATGGAGTCCGGCATCAGGCTCTCTGCTCAGCAGGGAGCCTGCTTCCCTCTCTCTCTCTCTCTGCCTGCCTCTCTACTTGTGATCTCTCTCTGTCAAATAAATAAATCTTTTTTTAAAAAAAAAGGTCATGTATGTTTTAAAGCTTAAAGATTGTTTTACCTAGTGTTGTTATATGTTTGTGAAGTGAGAAGGGGGAGTGGGCGTGGGAGAGGGGGACTCATGTTGGATTAGTCTCCTATTCCTGAAAGTTGAGCAGATCAGTGTAATTGTAGTGACTATGAAATGGTTGACTTGATGTTCCAAGTCAACTGTTTGAAAGCAGTGGGCCAGAGTTTTTCTTCTGTACTAAATTACTTGGACTGTATAGGACACATTATCTTACTGAACTCATCTAGTCCCATTTGAACTAACTTGTCTTTTTGTTATTTTATAGATGCAAGTTTCCAAAAACACAACAGAAAAGAAGAAGCCCAAATTTAGAAGGACAAGGTATTTTTTTTTTACAAAAAGTATTATGATAAAATTGAAATGTATATATACATTGGATTAATTATTATGACATTTCCCCCTGATTCTTGATTCTTTTTCTCTAGGAAAACATCAAAATTTTCTAGAAGAATTAGAGATGATGAGAATTAAGAAATAAATTATTTCTTAATAATTAAGATAAATTATTAAGAAAAATTATTTCTTAGTAATTAAGATAAATTATTAAGAAATAAGAATTAAGGTGATAAGTAGTAGCTTTAGAGTATGGAGAAAGTTTTATGTTTATACAAATATGTTGAAGCAGAACTAGTGAAGATTAATATCATGTGAGCAAGCAGATGAGAAGCAGGTGTTTGGTTTAAAAATAGTGCAAACCAGAAACGGGCCTTTATAATGAACTGATAAGCCACTGATGACAAGTTTTAGTGTTTATCATTGAGCCAACCACACAGTTTATTTACGTATTTTTTTGAAGAATTGTAATCAGTGCTGTATTAAAAGGAGTCCTGCTCAACAACAAAGTCTGACTCCGATATGATAGTCCTTCTCTTATTCTTTGTCCTTCTTCAGAGGATGAATAATTAAATTTTTAAAAAGGCCTTACTGTCTTATCTTAGTTATACTTCACAATAACCCCATCAAATAAGAAGTATATCATAATCATCTCTATTTAAAAGATGAAAAACTTATGACTTAGAGAAACTGGCTTTTTCAAGATCTTATGGCTAGAGAAAATGCATTTGAACCAATTTTTTCCGACTTTAAGTCAGCAATACAGTGTCATGGGAAAAGCATGGATTTTGCAGTCTGACAGAATTTAGCTGTGTCATGCTCAGCCATTTCCTACATTGTCAAATTTCTCAATTTCTCAGAGCTTCAGTTTCTTTATAAAATGAGAGTAGCAATTCCTTAGTAGGTTTTTTAGGGGAAGATTACATGAAAAAGCCTATATAAGGTACTTGCTAGATCATTAGTGCTTTTCACCAGATGAGAGCTTAGATCAATATTATTTCCTTTTGGTTTTTTCACTGTATCATGCTGTCTTACTGTATAAACCAATCAAGGAAAAGTACCTCAAGATAAAGAAATATATTCATAATTTATAATTATCAATGAATATGCAAAAAATGGCCATTGAAGTATTCATGATTGATCTTTTGAAACTAAATCTGTCAAATTCTTTTCCTAGGAAAGCTATTTTAAAATGCTCTTTTGAAAATGTTTGTTCAGATGATGCCTTATCAAAGGAAAACATGGGTATGTGAAGGCCTCTCCTGCTCTTAGTTCCTTTACTTCTATTTAATTCTACCAAATGTAGTTGTAAGTTTTGGAAGAAAAAAAAATATTGATGAGAACTGTTAGTGGGTCATTTTGTTTTACATACTAGATTTACATACTAGATCTCTTCAGTTGTCTTTAGGTTTCTGTTCCCATAAATTAAATTTTCTCTGGCTCCGTCACATATTTAATTTTTTTAAAAATAAAGCACCACTGGCTGTGGGAGGAAATACCCACATCAATACATTAAAATCCAGACCTCTCCATTCGAAAATTATTGGGGTCCTCGGGGTGCCAGAGAGAGAGAAAGAAGAAAAGCAGCAGCATGGGGCTTCCAGCTGAATTAATTGCCATTGGTATTAGAACACAGTAGGGAGAATGTGGAATGCAGGGAGAAAGTTTTAGTTTTCAAAAGCGCTTTACTCTTCCTTCATTTTCATTAGTCTTGAAAAGCAGGCAAATACTTATTTGCAAGATGGAACTTTGGCAACCACACAAAGAGGTTCCAAAGCCCATTAACCCCCAAGAAGTTATCCACGCCATATTTCCTTTCCTATATAGCCACCCCCAGTGTTCTATGGCACTGTGTTTCAACTGACTAAATAAGCCACCCATCTTTAGCCTTATTAAAAGAAAGGAAAGCAGTCAGAAGAAGGACAAAGTAGTTAATTTTTTTTAATCTTTTGTTCCTCTCCTAAACCACTACAAAATTCTATTCTTTCTATCTCTTCTTAAATTTATTCTGCTGCTACTTTCCTGCTAACTTAGGTGCCTTTTCTTGGCTATATTGTCCTTTCGCCTCACATGATTACTTCAGATATTCCTGTAGAAAGGCAGAAAACTCAGTTTATCCCTGGACTGAATTCTCACTAGGAAACCTTGGTACTGCAGCTGAGGGCTCCAGTGCTGGAATCCAGGGGCTACTGAGGAAGAAAGCATCATAGGCAGGAATCCATTGATTGGAAATCACTCTGCTGCATAAATGAGTGAATGCATTTCCATAGTTATCCACTGACACCCTTTCAGGAGTCTCACATTCTGTGTAGCTCTCAAGTCTCAATAGTTAATTGTTCAAATCTTTAACCTGATCTGTGTTTTACTCCTTTATCCCATTTCAAACAAATAAAAAGCATAAACATCTAGTCTGCTGTGTTCTTTGCAAGAGCTGACTACTTCTTGAAAGAGTGGTTATTTTTCAGTAAATTATCCCCGCCTCAGTTTTTTACCCCTACCCATATTTCAGTGTATCCCTTGATCTAAGTCTCTGAAATCACTCCTTTAGTTCTTGGCTTGAGGTAGCATCAGTCCTAGACCAAGTGAAAATTGGAGCCATTTTCCTTACATTCCCAGGTGCTAAAATAAAGTCTCCCATCAGCCTACTGCCCAGATTTGCTGTTCCTTTCTGGGTTATAAACTCTACCCTTTGCTTTTCTCTCTTCCTTAATTAGAGGTCGGGAGGAGAGCTAATTAAGTGTAGCTACTTTACCTGCCCAAGTGTCAGTTGCTTCATCTGTGATAAAGACATGCAATAAAAACCCTCTTATCCAACAAGGAGAAGATTTCTGAAATTAATAGAAAAAGTTGAGGAATCATTAAATAATTTAAGCTGTATGCCCATGGCTATGCAGATTTAATCTAAGAAATAGCTATTTGGGGGCGCCTGGGTGGCTCAGTGGGTTAAAGCCTCTGCCTTCGGCTCAGGTCATGATCCCAAGGTTCTGGGATCGAGCCCCATATTGGGCTCTGTGCTCAGCAGGGAGCCTGCTTCCTCCTCTCTCTCTGTCTGCCTCTCTGCCTGCTTGCGATCTCTGTCAAATAAATAAATAAAATCTTTAAAAAAAAAAAAAAAGAAATAGCTATTTGTGGAGCATATCTAGGTTTGGGGGAAAATTACTACAAAGAATATTATGAATTATGTTTGTATTGTCCCTCTACCTCGTTTTTTTCCCAGTGTTTAGGAACAAGAAAATTCATCTATAATGATGAAATAATAATACCAATAGTAATAATGATAGCCAACACCTGTAAAAATTACTGTGTGTCTTCACTTTATATATATTTATTTAGCCCTTGTAAGATCGTAAGAAGTAAATAAGGTAGATAGTATTTTTTTAAGATTTTATTTATTTATTTGACAGAGATCACAAGTAGGCAGAGAGACAGGCGGGTGGGGGGGAAGCAAGCTCCCTGCTGAGCAGAGAGCCCAAATCAGGGCTCGATCCCAGGAGCCTGGGATCATGACCTGAGCTGAAGGCAGAGGCTTTAACCCACTGAGCCACCCAGGCACCCCTAGATATTATTTTATCTCCCATTTTATCAATGGGGAAACCAAGACACTTCAGAGGTTGTTATATGGTTTTTCTAAGTCACATATATCTTCTTAAAATTAATCAAAGTGTGCAGCTGTTTCCTTGGTTGCTTTGAATATCAGGAATCGTAAAGCTAACTGTATTGGGTTTTGGTACAGTACTGATAACTGACCTAAGCAATTTTAAGATTTCATTATAGCCTTTCATACCCTCTTAACTGATTTTGATTTCTTTTTGTCTTTGGGTTTTCATCATTTGTTTTGTTATATCATTGTTTTTTTGTTGGGAAATACCTCACTTCTTTTTGGGTAGTAGACAGTCTGTAAAAGTTTAGATAGATAAAAGATTGGCATATTACCCAGGTTTAACTGATAATCTGTGGCATTCATTAATAAATTAGCAAAGGATATATTCATCAGCCACCTGAGACAGATAGCCATGGAAAAGGATGGCTAATGCAGGAGAGGTCTGGGTCATGAGGGAAATCCTGGGGGAGCATGAAGACCTTAGGAGTAGGAGTGGGGCTAGGAGGTAGAAGAGGTGACAGGGAGAAAGGTGATTTCTTGCTGCTCAGGACAAACTTTGCCCATCTACTGTTGGTTTGGAGTTACCTTTAACCTCTAGACTAAAAGGTGGGGTTGGCCCACATGCCCCTTTCCTGGAAAACTCCTTGCCTCCTATTTCTGTTTGTATCTCCGGGAATGGTGCTATCTTCTTCATTACATTCTAATTTGTATTTTACTCATCACTACATTTAAATTGTAAGCACGCAAGAGGAGTGTTTGTGGTTACTTAATAATAAAACAAAACCCAAGTACTTTTTCTTCTTCTTCACCGTCTTCCATAAGAATGCCTTCAAGGGGCGCCTGGGTGGCTCAGTGGGTTAAAGCCTCTGCCTTCGGCTCAGGTCATGGTCTCAGGGTCCTGGGATCGAGCTCCACATTGGGCTCTCTGCTCCGAGGGGAGCCTGCTTTCTCCTCTCTCTCTGCCTGCTTCTCTGCCAGTTTGTGATCTCTGTCTGTCAAATAAATAAATAAAATCTTTGGAAAAAAAAAAAAAGAATGCCTTCAAAATTTCAATATTGAAATGACCCTGAAAGTTTACTGCAGATGGTATTTTTCAATGCCAGCTTTGGGGTAGGTAGCCTTACCAGTAGCCTCTTAACATAAGGAAATAAAGAGCTTTCTTAAACATTTAGTAGAAGAGTAAAGATTGGAGAAAACTCCATAAATGTACATTTGAAGACTTCTAAAATAGCAACTGATTTATTGAGACCAAGAGTAAGTTAATTCTCATCAGGATGGAAAACATACACAGATTATTTTATAAAAATTCATTTTTAAAAGCCAGATATGGACTTTGGTGTAAGAGACAACTTTTTCTTACTTTTTAAAAAAACTTTCTCTTGAGTGATGGAATAACTGTAATACTACCACTTTACTCTAAACAACAAATTGAAACAAGTCCCAGAAACTACAAGGTAATCAGTATTGATAGAAGATGATTGGTCATGCAGTCAGCAAAGGCATTCATTCTGTCCCTATCTTTGGAGGATATCATTGGCCAATTTTGATAAGCTAGTTTGTAGATTACTGTAACTGCTGTTTCTTAAGAATTAGTTTTGAACTCTATCAGTTTACAATATACGAATACGTATTTAGAAAAGCAAACCTCCCATTGCTCTAGCAGCAGAATTTGACATCAATCAAGTCGGTGTTATGAACCCTGGTTGATTTATGAAGTCATCCATTACTTTGTCTACCCTTTGATCAAAAGGCAGTGTACATATTTTTCCACATCACTTGAAAATGGAGGGCCTACAATGCCATTCAGCAATGACATTCATTATCATAAATTGATTGTATTTTAGCCTAGCCTTAGAAATATAAAGATGTTTGCGTACCATTTTTCCTTTACAGCATAGCTCAAAATCCATCTTCTCAACAGTGCATTAAATGTCAGTATCAATTTCCATAGACCCAGAATGTAAAGTAGGAAAACACAATTCTGTGAGTGGGACTGGAGAATCAGTGTGAAGATAATCACAAGTAGTTTCTGTTGAGTAGCAGGTTACTAAGTAGGAAATCTATCATAAAGAGAGGTTAACTCCCATTAACAAAATTGCTTCAATATAAGTGTACATACCTCTAGAAAATTCTGATTCAGTAGACATGGGTTGCCTTCATGTTTTTTTAGTAAATTCTCCATGAGATTCTTATGCCTACCAAATTTTGAATACCATTGTTTTAGAATATAATAGTTTAAATTCTGTGTTCTTATGCTTTAGCAATTACACAGAAACACATAGCTATGTGGACACATCTAAAAGGTCAGTTACAGTTTTTGTTGTGTTTTTAAACATAGGAATTGGTTCTGTGGTATGCAAATGGCTTATCAGAAAGCTACTTTCAAACTGTTTTGAAAGAAGTCTTCATAGAGAAAACCTAAGATTGGCTGGAAAGAGATGATGGCCAGGAAGGTTCATTGGTCTGTGCCTACTCTCTTGAGTCCCTTGCACTTAGTAGGCAAATAATTGATATTATTTGAATATTGAGTGAGCATAAAAATACTTGGGGCAAGTGATAAGTATTGACAGAAAATCTATTTTTGTAGATAAAATTGTAATGTGAAAAATGTTAACTAAAAATTGTTCTTTTATACTGTAGTGACAACCAAGAAAGGGAAAATTTTCTATTTCATAACCTCCCATGACTTTATTTAACACTATTATTTAAAAATGTTCTAGCAAAATTTTAAAATTTCCTTCTTATGAGTAAAAGATAAGAGAAAATTATCAACAAGGAAGACTCTAATAAAATATTGATTCTTTTGGACTAGAGAAAAGGAAACATAAAACTTTTCACATTAATGGGGCGCCTGGGTGGCTCAGTGGGTTAAGCCTCTGCCTTTGGCTCAGGTCATGGTCTCAGGGTCCTGGGATCGAGCCCCACATCAGGCTCTCTGCTCAGCAGGGAGCCTGCTTCCTCCTTTCTCTCTGCCTGCCTCTCTGCCTACTTGTGATCTCTGTCTGTCAAATAAATAAAAAATTAAAAAAAAATTTAAAAAAAAAACAAAAAAAACTTTTCACATTAACAATCTCTGTTTTTTACCTTCCAACATGCTTAGTTTACAAGGATGCCAGGGATTCATATATCATATGCACTCTTCCTAAACTGATTAGTTAGAAAATTTTAAAATATGTTCACTAATTAGATTAAAACTTAGTGCTGAGAATGCCTTGCTTCCATATTCATCGATAATATTTTAGCTTGAAAGCGTATGTCCTGTTTCGGTCTATTTTCAAGTTCCATGAACTTTGAGCTGCTCTACCTAGTGTGATTTTTGGTGACCTGCCAAAGAATGGTGGATAATAGGAGGTGGTATGTCAGATTTTTGTCACCAGAGTGGAAAATGATGGGGTATATATTCATGGCCTTTATCTTTGAATCATGTTGCCTTTGGAAGGACTTCTCAGATGCTCCATCTGTCTGTTGTACAGGACAGCAAGCCACACGTGGTTTCCTTGATTTTTACTTCAACAAGACTATATCAAACAAAAATGTCTATTCTATTTATGTCAGGATTTCAACTGCATGTTATTAATCAGTAGTTGAGTCTATAGTTATATAATAGTAGTTTATTTCTTGTGTGTGTTATTATTTTATCTCAGCAAGTTCAGTGAATTCATGTCACAGTGTACACACACACACAAATTTTGTTTTAGTGTGGTATTTAAAATATATATCTACGTATAGATATAGCTGCAGATAGATATCAGACTAAGCAGTTAAGATGCGTTGGTATTTGAATTAGGAATAGAGAAGCCTATGTTTAACCTGGCCACTTAATTACGTGGTTTCCCCTTTTAAACAGTAAGAGTTTACTGTAGGGATGACAAACTGTGGCCCACAAGCCACTTGCTATTGTAAATAAAGTTTGATAGGAACATAGTCACTCTCGTTTGTTTAGGTACATGTGTAGAGTTTGGACTGTAGCAGCAGAATTGAGTGGTTGTGACAGAAACCACAAAGCCTGCAGTATTTACTCTCTGTCCCTTCACAGGAAGAGTTTGCTGACCCTTGGTTTATAAAAAAAACAATTTAGTTTGTCCCTGATTAAAAAAAAAAAAAAAAAACAAAAACAAAAACCACTTCTAGTGAGCTTTTTGTGATCCTGGCAAGAATATCACCTACATTTTTAAAGGAATAATTGTAAAATATTCACCTGGAAATCCATAATTATGTTGCATCAGGCAGAGGTCACATGGGAAAATCATACAAAATATTTATTTTTTATCTTGTAACATTTAGACAGTTTTCTCTTCGGGGGCAGTTAAGCTTATGGATTTGATGGAATTAATTAAGATGTAACATTTTTTTACCGATGTTTTCTAGTTGTCTCTGAGACCGAAGTTTTACTGAAGGAGCTGGAGCAAATGCTACAGCAGGCGCTAGACCCCACAGGGGCACCTGATGAGCCCGAAGAGGAGCATGGAGAGGAGGTAAATGCAGGAGCGAAGGTAGCCTGGTCATCGTGATCAAGCCTAAACGGCAACTTCAGATTCTTTCAGTGGCAGGCATTTTTTCTGGATGTACGTTTTAATTATATGGAGAACTTCTATTCCCTTCTGAAATTTGAGTCCTTGATTATCCTGAAGTGAATAATAAACTAGCAGCCTGTTGAAAAGTCAGAATACATCTATCAGTCTTTGAAAAAAAAAAAAAAAAAATCTGTGAGCAGAGGAGTTCTTTGTGTTTCAGTTCTTTGAGGTTGACATGAAGAAAGAATGGAGGAGGGGCTCACAGTAGCTGATGGGGCACCACAGCAGACAGACCTCTCCACTACTGCAGATCTTTACAGTCAGGAAAAGACGGGCCAGGCTGAGAGCAGCTTGCTAGGACATCTGCCCTGTCTGGTTCAGGCACAGGGACAACCTCTGTAGGGACAGACCTCATTATTAACACACCGGAGGTAGAATTTTCCATTTTTTTTCTTTTGGCTACCTATGTTGGGCTAAGTAAGTGTGTGCTTACTTTATTCAGTATTTGTATGTGACAACATAAGTTTTAAGTTGGTTGACAAATTGCTCAGCACATCAGCTCCAGGTTCATACAAATAAAATGAGGGCACAAGCCCAGGTGATTAATACAGAGCAGCAATGTGGTAGGTGTGAGAAAAATAAGTCATAAGACAGGCACTTCCACAAGGCAGTACAGCTGTTCTCGAAATAGGGAGAAAAATGGCAGCAAGAGGTCCTATACCCTTAAGGTTTCATTCATTCTCTGATTCATTCATGTAGATATATACTGTGCCTGGAGTTGAGAGAGCACAGTGGTTCGGAGTGCTAACTCTGGAATAGAATATCAATGTCCCAGTCCTAGTCCGGCCACTGACAACTTGTGTAATTTGGCACAGTTCCTTATCACATGCCTCAGAGGATTTTTTTTTAAATAAGACAAACCAGGAAAAGAACTTTGCATAGAAACTGACTTCTAAGGTCAGCTGTTATTACAGATGAGAATTGGCAATGGCAGTCACTGGAGAGAATAAGGGCTGAGATTTCCTTACTTCATCTCTTTTCCCACATTCTCACTTTGAGCAACTACCCATTCCGGAGTCTGTCTCTTCTCAGATGCTTAAAAAGGTGAATTTGTATATGGACAAGGTTGTTTACACACTTTGGCAGACTGCCCAATTGCATGATTTCATTCAGGACTCCAACAAGAAAAAAGGTGATTCGTAAACACCTCCCTTTTTGACTTAGAAATCGGAATATACAGGATTTACAGTTAAAGAGATCAATATGCTAAAAGAAAATAAAATTAATGCTAAAAACTCTTACCAACTTGAAAACCATAGCCTGCTTAATTAGCCCCAGCAATATCAACCTGTATTTGAATTGCATGGTTGTGAATGCCATTTTTCCAATTAGAGTTCCTTCTTGAAAAAACTCATTTTCTCTGTATAGATCTTACCTTCCATAAAACCAGATCTATAGATTGGTGACATATATATTATATATATGTAATTAATATACAAATTATTTTTTCCTAACAAATGAAACAAGATCTGTAGGTTGGTGACATATATATTATATACACATAATTAATATACAAATTATTCTTTCCCAGCAAATGTGTGCTTTGTTGGAGCACCATATGGTTTTGTGCAATGTGTTTTCAGTCTTTGCAGTTTGTCTTTTCAAAACTCCAGCCAGGCTGATTTTTATAGAGATGTCCTGGAGCTTTTACAGCCACAGAATTGGCTTCTATTTTACCATTATAACCAGTAACGTGATAGAACAGAAAATGACTTCTGATTTTTATTTCTTAAGGTAAAATACATAGTTTCAATGTATTACCAGGCAGGAGCTTGCTTTTTGTTTTAGAGGCTTGTAATATTTTATGCTTTCAAAAGCCATTGAGGAATTGTAAAAATTAACCATCTTAACTTGCTGGCAGGCAGGTGAGTGCCCCCTGCAGACTGGTTCATAAGCCCTTCTCCTCAAAGAGCTTTGTAAGCCTGGCATTCACACCAGGTTCCATATATTTAGGGCCTTGTTCACTTTTAAATGAGAAAAATAGCAATGAAACCAACTATCAAAGCTGCAACAATTTCCAGTTTAAAAGAAAAGAAATGATCACCTCAGGGGTTTCTTTTTTTTTTTTTTTTTCTTTTCTTTTTCTAGCTTGCTTTTTCTAAGTTAGTAGGGAAAATTAACATGGCCTCCAAAGTTAACACCACTTAAAACTGGAGCTGTGTTGTGTTTGCAGGAGAAAGTGGCCTCTTACAAACTATAACCTCCGCAAAAGAGCCACCTGATAATTTTAATGTTCTGAACATGTTTATTCTCTGAGCAGGTATTGTTTGAGCTCTTTCCAAAGTTGTAAATTTGATAGTGTTTTCATCCGTCATTTCACATATGAGGATTCAGGTTGATTACTCTCTAGCACTTATACCAATAGGTGAGAGTAGCAATATTAAGAAAAAAAAAAAACATTATACACACGTGGATAATCAAAATTCTTTTCTATTTGTCACTGAAATGTTTTATGAGATTATTTTCCTTAGTAGAGTCTCCTTCCTAATTACACTCTTCTTTAGCTAACACTGGTTGTCATGCCCCGACTTTGCAAGCAATGGGAGGGAATTAATATCAGATTTTTATAAAATCCACCTGAATTAGATAAGCCATATATAAATAAGACAGAGTTTAGTGAATAATTATTTGTATTAAAAGGTACATTTTTTGATATGTGAAAATACTTGTATAAATTATTCTTTTTCTTCATTTCATGGAAGTTCGCTCTTTTTTTTTTTTAAAGATTTTATTTATTTATTTGACAGACACATCACAAGTAGGCAGAGAGAGGCAGGTAGAGAGAGAGGGGAAGCAGGCTCCCTGCTGAGCAGAGAGCCCGATGTGGGGCTCGATCCCAGGACCCTGGGACTATGACCCGAGCCGAAGGCAGAGGCTTTAATCCGCTGAGCCACCCAGGAGACCCCAGTTCGCTCTATCTTTAATGAAACTTGAAGTTATAAATCTTGTGTGTGTTTATAGATATTTGCATTGTTTTTACTAGTGTCCCTTCCTACTGAGCTAGACCAAACGATGGCTATTCTTAACTAATACAGAGGCTTATGAGAAGATAGCCATAGAAATTGTGACTTAGTTTTAAGTTGTATTCCCTATAATGATAACCTTAAAAATAAACAAGTATAGAAAACAAATGTAGCAAAATTCATAGAATGAAATGTTTCGCAAAGCTTAAAATGAAAACTAAAAATGTATAAAGTTGGGGGAAAGAGATAGGTCCTGAATAGTCAGTTCTTCTTATATTAACACATTTACTATACATTCTGCTCCACATGGGGATCATTATTTGACCACCAGCATAATAGAACGCTTTGTGTCACTGCTGTGGTTGTGGAGTTACTGACTACTTTACACTTTGTTCAAATAATCAAGCCTGATCTTCCAGTAAATTTGATGTAGTTCTGATGAATTATATGGTTATTTTTACAGTTAACTAAATGCAGCTCTGAAGTCCCAGCAGGCAGTCCATTCGAAAACCACTATGAAGAGGACTATCTTGTAATTGATGGCATAAAATTAAAAGCTGGAGAATGTATTGAAAATATAACTAACAAATTTAAAGAAATAGATGCTCTAATGTCTGAATTTTAGGGTGTTATAAATATTTTCAAAGGCTAGTTATAAAGACACTTACATGTTTATATTTTCCCAAAAGTCAAAAGCTTGAAAATAGGGAAATAGGTGTATGTTATACCAAAGCTGATATTTATAATAACTTTCTATTTTATACTTTGAGAATAGCCATTGTTTTGAGAATCAATCAAATGGTACTTAAATTAGTAATAAAAATTTAGGATTTAAGAAGCCCTGATATTTGTATTTATAGATTTTTTTCTTGTGTGCCTTAGTTTTAAAATGGTTTATAAACTATTAAGTTTACAATGGCTTATTTAGGCCCTTTATTCAAATGTGGCTATTTAGATGGCCATCGAGGCTATTATAATTCATACAGATAATTCAAGTGTAGTAGAGACATGAGAATGTATATTGGTAATGGAATTAAGCTACTACAAAATAAAAGGAAATAATTTTTTAAAAAGTACTGTATAATAGAGTTGGTGCTTTTCTCAGAGGTGTCAGTTACCTTTTATGGGAAATAATCATTTCAACCCCGATTCCCAAAACTGATTAACAGAGTCTCAGGGGAGGTGGGGAGGCTGTAGACAATCAGAATCCTGGATGTTTCCCCCATTGAATCAGTATCTCTGAAGGTGAGGATGGGAAAATGTAGTGGAAAACATAAAGAGATAAGTATATTCTCACTAAAAAAAATCCATAAGCAATGTAGGCAGGCAAAATGTGTATCATGCAACATCACTCCCTTAACACTTCCCCTGCAACCCCATCCTATAGGGATTCCCAGGAACAGTTTTGGTGAGTGTCCTTCTACATCGTGTTCTAATGCGCATCCATCTCTAGTGCCCACACTTGCACTCTTTCCATGCCCTTCTCTCTCCTGGGAGTATGGGGTCAGAGGAAGGACATTCCAAGCACATGGAAACAAAACCAAAGCTTGAAGAGAGAAGAAAGCAGTACAGCCCCTCGAACCTATTGCTTGTTGAATTAACTAGAGTGACCGTGTGCTGGTGTGACGGTCACCACAGCAGGTGAGCTGCACTGTGTACATAGGCTGAAGAGTTTGTAACTGCAGGGGCCAAGTGGAGAGTTTCAGACAGTGGAATCCCTTTTACATTTCAGGAAGATCACACCAGCAGCAGACAGAGGTTGGAGTGAGCAGGAGTAACACCAGAGACAGGGGGCCTATTAGGAGGCTACTTAGGGAATTCAGGTGCAAGACTTTGAGAGCCTGAGTATGGCACAAATGGAGAGAGTGGAATGGCTTCCAGCTACATTAGCATTGATGGATTATTAGGATTTAGCAATTGGATATAGGGATACAGCAGTAGGGAGAGGTAGGAACAACTCCTGAGTTCTTGGTATTCACAGTGCTTTTCACTGAAGGTCAGCATACATACAGGTTAGGGGCCTGTGGGTGGCTTCATCAGTTAAGCGGCTGACTTCTGCTCAGGTCATTATATCAGGGTCCTGGAATTGAACCCCACATTGGGCTCTGTGCTCAGCGGGAAGTCTGCTTCTCCCTCTCCCTCTATCCCTCCCCACCTTGTGCACTCTTTTTCTCTGTCTCTCTCTCTCAAATAAATAAAATCTTTAAAAAACGAATACACGCATATTAGAAATGGGCAGCATATACCAAGTTTGGGCCAAACTGGATGAGTGTAGCAGAACTTTCATGCTTTGACAGAGTTTGCCTTTCAGAACCACTCCATGAGCCAGAGTGACAATAAATAATCTCTCAATACATCGTATTTACTTCTCAGTGATATGAAACAGTGGAAGTTAAGCCTTCCTCCTTTTCCTCCAACAGAATTTACTCCATAGCATTTCAGAAAAACGTTTCTTCTTTCTCTTGGCATTATGATTTTATCTTTTTTTTTTTAAGATTTTATTTATTTATTTGACAGAGATCACAAGTAGGCAGAGAGATAGGCAGAGAGAGAGGGAGAGGGAAGCAGGCTCCCTGCTGAGCTGAGAGCCCGATGCGGGACTCGATCCCAGGATCCTGAGATCATGACCCGAGCCGAAGGCAGCGGCTTAACCCACTGAGCCACCGAGGTGCCCCCATTATGATTTTATATTCAGAGCCTACAGATGTCTCAAGAAGTCATAGATCCCATTTTCCTGTTACTTCTTAGAATTAAATCTATAAAGAACTTATCAAACTCAACACCCAAAGAACAAATAATCCAATCGAGAAATGGGCAAAAGACATGAACAGACATTTCTGCAAAGAAGATATCCAAATGGCCAAGAGACACATGAAAAAATGCTCAACATCCACTCAGCATCAGGGAAATACAAATCAAAACCACAATGAGATACCACCTCACACTGGTCGAAGTGGCTAAAATTAACAAGTTGGGAAATGACAGATGTTGGTGAGGATGCAGAGAAAGGGGAACCCTCCTACACTGTTGGTGGGATGCAAGCTGGTGCAGCCACTCTGGAAAACCATATGGAGGTTCCTCAAGAAGTTGAAAAGAGAGCTACCGTACTATCTAGCAATCATATTTACCGAGTAATATGTATTTACTACTGGGTATTTACCCTAAAGATACAAACGTAGTGATCCAAAGGGGCACGTGCACCCAAATGTTTATAGCAGCAATGTCCCCAATAGCCAAACTATGGAAAGAGCCTAGATGTCCACTGACAGATGAATGGATAAAGAAAATGTGGCATATATGTATATACAATGGAATATTTTGTAGCCATCAAAAAATGAAATCTTGCCATTTGCAACAACATGGATGGAACTAGAAGCTATTATGCTAAGTGAAATAAGTCAGTCAGAGAAAGACAATTATCATATGATCACACTGATATGAGGAATTTGAGAAACAAGACAGAGGATCATAGGGGAAGGAAGGGAAAAATGAAATAATGAAACCAGAGAGGGAGGCAAACTATAAGAGACTCTTAACCTCAGGATAAACTGAGGGTTGCTAGAGGGGTGGGGGAAGGGAGAGATGGGGTGATTGGGTGGTGGACGTTGGGGAGGGTATATGCTATGGTGAGTGCTGTGAATTGTGTAAGACTGATGAATCCCAGACCTGTACCTCTGAAACAAATAATACACTGTATGTTAATAAAAAACCTTTTTAAAAATGACTACAATTGTATTTGAAAGACTTTACTCATAATTCAAATGTTTGATATAAGCCCTCATGTAGTAGACTAATTAGATCACTTACAGCTAATTCCTCTTGGTGGAACAGCCAGTGCTCATCAAAGTCAGATTCTATAGGTAAGATACTGAAATTTCCAGACTAAATTCATCTCTGCCATGTTCTAACTTGTAGAAATCTGGAATTTCCACTGAAGTCTTTGTATACGTGAGCTGCACAAAATGGTTCTGAGAACAAACATTTGGGTTGGCTCTGTCTGCAGAGGAAACTTCATTCTCCTTCCAAGAAGAGGCTCTTGGGGGAAAGGCCTCTTATAAGAAGAGGACAGAGGGGAACCTCTGTCCATGTAAGAATATAGATTTTCAAATTTCCAGATAGAATGTGTTTAGGAAAATGGATGAAGGAGCAGTCAACTAAATCTCTATCCTCAAGGCTGAGAATCGTGCCTGGCTGGCAAACCCTTCCTACTGGTAAATACCCCATGTTCTGGGGCAGGCCAGCCAGATAACATACACCAGGGCATAGCGGTTGGACTGTGGAGACACAATGCCTGCCTCCTGGTCCCAGTGCTGCCACCTACTCTTTGGGAGACCTGAGATAAGTTATTCAACTTTCCAGAGCCTAGGCTTTTTTTCCCACAGAAGTTGCTGTGAAAGAAAATATATTAATATATATAAAATACAGAGAACAATCAACATGCAGAAAACTATACAAGTTACACCATGATTATTATCTCAGCCTTTCTTCTGAGGGCTCCTGCCTTTTTCTTCAAGGTGAAATGGACTAACATGCTTCTTTCAGTAGAACCTGAGGTAAAAAACCTGCTTTGGGGCCACTGGGACCAAGGATTATATGTGATTATGCTGACTCCTAGGGCAGGCCTAGAGGTGGACAATACCTTACTTTTATAGCTAGAGCCTCTTGCTAAGCCCAGAGGAGGACATCGTAAGAAAACTATATCTACCCATCAAGGGAGATTAAATTCTAAGTACACTGGTCATACCAAATTTGATATGAGAGGTATAAAGCAATATGTTAGAACCTCCTGCCCAAACATTCGGGTTGGAATAAGAGCCCCTCTTTGTCTAGTTTGAGGAGTGGCTGATCCTCTTTGGAATGAGTTGGGCCAAACCCACCTAGTGTCTGGCCTTCATGAACCTATAGAAGTGCTGGGTCCATTGACAGCTAAGTCCCCAGTTAGATCTACAGACAGTGGAGAGTTAAGCACCAAAGATAGCTCTGTTGCCCTATATTCCAGGAAGTGCTGGTCCATTTGCCCCTTGCTAAAAGCTGAATTTATGCAGGGATTCCCAGGGGTAAGAATCTTAGCTTTATCTCTGCTGTAGGTAGGCAATGCACTTTTGATAGGTTAATCTCTTGTGGGCACCAGTGGGATAAAGAGGAGAGTGCTCCCATATACTTGCCAAAGTCTGTAGTGTCTACAGCCCTGAACTCACTGGGGTGGAGGGTGATGGGCCACATTTAATGCATCCACTAATAGACCTAAGTACTATCATAAACTATGTATCAGTCTAGAGTCTTTGTGGAAAAAATTGGTAATTAGCTCTAAAAGGAGGAATCTTGGGGTGTCTGGGTGGCTCAGTCTGTTAGGCATCTACTTTTGGCTTGGGTCATGACATCAGCGTCCTGGGATTGAATCCTACATAGGGCTCCCTGCTCAACAAGGAGTCTGCTTCTCCCTCTCTCTCTGCCTGCTGCACCCCCTGTTTGTAGTCTCTCTCTCAAAAAAAAAAAAAAAAAATCTTTAAAAGAAAATTTTAAAAGGTGGACCCTTTTATTCATGAACCTGAAGTGATCTGTGTCATGCTTGATGGAACTAAACCATTCTGTTATCTAATGCTCTACCAATTAGTGGGTATTCCATGA